AGTTCTCAGCCAGTTTTTGATGGCAAGATTGACCCTGATGCTAACTTCGCAGAAGTAGCACTTGCCAATAGCAGGCAAGTGTTGACAAGGCTGCTGATTGCTTCCTCTTACCAGGGTTACTTAAAAAGGGAGATTCGACTTCCTAGCATGCGCCAGTACCAATTTACCATCGAAACGAATGAATGGATTAAAAAAGAATTAATTATCCAGGACGGATATATGAATGTTTGACGTCCAACCCGAGGGAATCGGTTTGAATTCCGTGTATCTTGCCGCAGTATTACCTCCATGAGAAGTGATCAAAAAACGTTTGAAGTAAATGTTTCGAATTTTTTTATGTAAATAGAATTTCGTTAGAAGACGAAAATGGACTGATAACTAGACGATACAGCACTGGTCAATGCAGTTAAAAAGTTACTGACTGTGTAACTGGAGTAGCATAAACAGCAAAAAGATAAGGTGTTTTTTTTTTCAGTGAACACTTTTAAACATTATTAGGAGAGCCTTTACCAGAGATACCACTGATCAGCTGTTCGACTGATCAACCCATATGTTTGGTAAAAGCACGTGAAAAAATTTACGCAATTGTTGCAGCAGCTTTGCGGATGGATTTGATAAAGTGGTTTTTGACTTCCGCTTGACAGCAACATAAATGATAGAGAGGTTCGCGTGATGAACCGATGTGAATTAGAACAAAGATATATTGAGACTGCGCCGATTCACAGTCACGCTCGTTCACTTCCACCTCAGCAATTGGCAGTATTCGATAGACCTTCGTCTGAAAAAAATATGATGAAACAGAGAAGCACTGAAATCATTAGAATTGAATTAAATTATAAAGATTTTTTTAAACTCCTTTTTCTTGAAGGTTTAGCGAAAGAGAGAAAAAGGCGTTTAAGTTAAAAGTTGGCTTTTTTTGATGAAAAGTGGATTATGTTTTAGGATGTTTACCTTATTTTTAGACAGTGTTGGACAGAAAATTAGAATAAGTGTGCTGAACACGAATGCCACGCATGGAACAGGGCGTGAACGGTTCTCGGAGCAGTTCAGCCAATTTACGTGCGCAAACATTAGCAACTGGCTGAAATTCATCCGCGACACCTGAAAATCTTAAGCTTTCAAAAAGTTGCCTTTGACAACTTAAATGGTTGCTGTGCAGTTTTAAAAGAACGCAGAAAAGGTCATCAGTGCGATGGACAGATCCGCTTGAACGGGTATGTGGAAT